GCTAGGAGAATTTTGGTTTGAAGAAACGATCGGAACTATCGTGTGACGGTATCGTTGAGCGGGTCTCGGTTCCGGGATCCGGATATACGAGAAGCGTGACAAGTTCGTTTCGACCTTTTATGGGTCGAACTTACCTTGATGTCCAAATGGGCGATATTTCTCTGGTGGAGGTAGGCGAGTCCTTCTACTAGCTGCCTCACAAAGTGCACCACGTCACCTTCGAGGGGCACCAAATCGCCGTCGATGAGGGTCTGCATATCGCCTCCGGGGGCGCTGCAAAGTTCAAAGTTCGATCAGATTCGATCAGACTCGGATGAGAGACATAAATACTCACTATTCCATCACGAGGATGATCTCCTTGGGGGTCTCGTACACGTCGTGAAGACGGACGACGCGTGGCGATTGGGAGCAGAGGGACAGCAAAGCTATCTCGTGCCTCAGCTCCGCGCTGCAGTCCGCGTTGAACCGATTTCTCGAGGAGTATTTCGCCGCGTACAGGATCCCCGTCGATCGGGATCGGCACCGATAAACTTTCGCCCATTGTCCGCTGCGAAACAAACGTCCAGGAAATAAATTAATCGGAGGGGGGAAGTGGAGGAGGAGGAGAAGGGGGGGGATCTCTTAAAGCGCGCGATTAAAATACGCGCCGGCTCGTAAAGTGGCCGAGAGGACAGCCGTGAAATTAGCCGACAGCCGGATTTTTACGATCGCCTCGAAGAATTTCGAGCGCCTCTCTCGCCCGGCAAGGTCGACGCCGCGGCGCCTGGCAAGGCTGCGTTTTTAAAAACGACGCAGCTGTTCAACTGCTCGGTTGCGCAAAACGTCCCACCACACATCGGATCGTGAAACGTCTTCTTCTTCGTGGCGAATCTCGAAGGTTCGAGGCGATCGAGTCAAAAATACTCTCTTCCCCGGAGAAGAATCCTTCTTCTTCTTCTTCTTCTTCTTCTTTCATCCCGGAAACGCGAGCGCGCGCGCGCTCGCTTCGTAAATTTCCAGGGAGAAAGTAGACGCCCTTGCTTGGACGCCCGCAATCCTCCTTCCCCCCTCTCTCCTCCCTTGCCACCGATTCGCAATTTCACCGACGTCCTTTTGGTCCAGATAAGCGCGACAGTCGAAACGAGGATCCGATAGCGGGTGCAATTAACTTTAATCGTTTCCAATTTGAACAAGAAAAGAGGGGAGAGGGGAGGGTCTCTCTCACCCTCGCACGATTCAAGGCGTTTCTACAGTAAGTAAATTACCAGATGTGGCATCGAACTCGTGGATATATCGCGCGTTATTTACAGTCGTTGACACATCGCGCGTCAAACAATTGGATATGAGAGAGTATCGATGTTAGGAAAGTTGGACGATATGTTCCACGCTTTCGTTCCCCTCGAATTAATTCCCCCCCGTTTTCGCTCGTTTTTTGCGCGTCTCGACCTGTTTTTAGCCGTGCCCGTTAACGAGGCAGTCGCGACTCGAAAAAACCACCCTTCGAAACTTGCTAATTCGAGGCGAGTAGGTTTGCAAAGTTTCGAATTCCCGTCCCTCCTCCTGTTTCGAAACCGACTTTCCAAAGTTAAAGATGCGAAGTCACGGATTGTCGAACGAATTATTCAAACCGGTATTGATACAATATTCGAGGTAACAAATTGGGAGTTTCGAATTAAAGATCGGTATGCGAGAGTGGGTGAAAAGTTTAAGGCATGTTGCATCTAGGAATAAACGTATCCGTTGATTTCGACGGCCCCACTGGCCCAAGAGGCTCGAGTACCGCGCTACCAGATGGTGGCCAGAACAGAACAACGACGATTCATCGGTGATCGCTAAAAAGAGAAAAAGGGGGAGGGGGAATTGCTCCACGCGTGTCGCCTTCTCGAACGACGATATTATCGAGGGCCGCCTGTCAACGGTGAACTCTTACTTCGCGAATGGTTTTGGATCGATCTCGTAATGCTCCGTGATGGGCCCCGTCTTCACCACTCTGGCGAGCTGGGCCTCCTGCACGAGAACCAACCCCTCCTTCACGTGTTTCTCGCTCCACTGCACTCTGCACCTTCCCCTGCACCTCTCCTCGCTCCCCGCTCCCCGCTCGTCACCGCGCTTCGCCTTCGCGCTCGCGCACTTCCCCGACGAGGCCTGCAAGTTTCGACGCTGAGCCCGTGGCGACGTCCTCCTCGCGGATGACATGGTCGGTGACTGATGATGGTTCGTCTGATAAATCATCGCCGGTCCTGGCTTCGCTTCGTTAACGCCCCGATAACTCGCCTCGACGAACCCGATCAAGCATAACGACAGGCTCCGCTCGAGGATGGTAGCTCGATCACCCGGGCCCAGGGCATCGAACGCTGCAACATTCAGATTTTCGAATCGAGAAAAACTGTGATAAACTAAAAACTTGAATATTTCTATTCCTTTATATATATATTTATACCTGCGCTCGATTTCCCGACAGCCTCGAGATACACGACGACGGATAGGCTGCTTACTTTCGATTTCACCTGGGGAGAGGACGAGGGAAGAAGAATTGGAAGAGGGAATTGTTGGAACGCACAGGTTCGAACACGAACGTTCACCGCATCTCGAGTTCACCGATAAGATGATGTCCGCATCTCGAGGTGAGCGACAGGGCTCGTCGTTCCTGCGAGAGATCGCGAGCTTGACGGTCGAGCGCCGCGGCAGAAAC